CCCCCCCTCCGCCTCCCCACCTACCAGTGCCGGAAAATAAACCCCCAACCTGAAGGATGTAAGCTGGCTATGTGCAGGGAGGGACAAAAGAATGGCAGGTGGCGACAGGCGAAATCGCTTAGAATGGAATGTTCGAGGGAGGCGGGATGTTCATTGGCCATGAGCAAGTGCTTATGCAGGGGCAGCAAAGGATCACACCAGAAGGAAAGTTCACCCGGACGAAGCGCCACCACAGGATGTGGATGAAATCCACGGGCGGGACCGAGAGACGCATGGAGAGACAGAGGGACAGAGAGGGAGAGAGAAGCTCATGGGAGTGGAGTAGGGGCGGCGAGAGGAAGCCATTGGCTTACTGGGCCGCCAGCCAGGCGTTCAGGTCGCCAGCAATGCGCTCGATGCACTTGGCATTGTTGGTGATCTCCTCAACAGCCAGCTTGACATTGGAATCGATGGTGGCATACTGCTTCTTGTCGATGCCATCGAAGAAGCTCTTCACCTCCTCGGCATCCTTCAGGGTAGAGAGGCTCTCGCAGCTGTTGCTGACGATGCGCCCAAGGAGGAAGCCGCTCGGGGAGAACATCTCATAGAACTTGGCCCAGTTGTTGCGGACGAAGTCCCACGTCCGGCGGCGGGTGACCGGGTTGTAGGACAGCGACCGCATCAGGTGGAAGACATCCTGCAGCCGGACGGACCCACTGAAGATGAGCTCAAAGTCTGGCAGGGGAGGGGGGAGGCGGGGGGGGCAGGAGCCGGGGCACAGCCGAGGAGGGCGCCATGTGAGTACATGCGTATTTCTGCATGCAAAGACAAAGGGCAACAGGAGGAGGGGCAGATGGAAAGAGAGAAAAAAAAAAGAAGCAGGCTCATGCGGGTCTACACGTACTCTTGTCCATGGCCACCGGGTCCACCGACTGGCCCAGGGCGAAAAGGGCCCGGACCTTCAGGTCGGGAACCTGCTCGCGCTGGAAGAACGCCAGCGTCTGTTCCCACTCGGGGAGGCCGCCCAGGCGCACACCAGTCTCCAGGATGGCAGCCTGAACCTCGGGGTTGCTGTTGGCCGCGGCCTCGGGGGTGGCATTCACCAGGCTGGAGAAGCGCCGCTGTGCCTCGGCCACAGTCCACTCGTGGCCAGCGCGGCAGGCGTTGGCCACAAAGGTCGACCGAAGGCAGTTGGCAATATGGTCCTTGGCGGCGGTCGACACGCCGGTGTCCCAGATCGCCGCCTCGGAGTGCGGACCAAAGAGGCCGGCCGCGAAGCGGTTCAGATGGCCGACCACCTCGGGCGACTGCTCGAACCACAGGGAGCTGTGCATGTGCGAGTCCACATGTATGTGTATGTGTGCGTGTGTGTGTGTGTGTGTGTGTGTGTGCGCGCGCGCGTCCACCAAGGGAGGGGGGGGGGGAGGAAAGACAGCGAGGAAGAGTGAGTGGGCTCTTGAGCGGGGGGGACGGGAAAAAGGAATGAAAATAGGACTCTCACGTACCGCAAAGCGCCCAGGGTGGCAGCAATTGCCTCCCAAGCAAAGCCCACCGAAGCGCCGCGGAGGGCCTGCAGCAGGTCCAGGAAGTGCTTGATGGAGGAGTGCCCGGATGCAGCGAGGGCAAAGAAGTCCTTCACCAGGTTGACCAGGTCACCATGGGCGAAGGCGGTGGTGGGGTTCTCAGCAATGGCACTGATCAGTCCGGCCACCAGGGTGGGGTGATAGTTGACGCGGTAGAAGCCAATACCATCACGGTTGAGCTGGTCGCGAGAATGCGCACGAATGCGTGGCAATGCCCGGAGGGGAGGGAGCGCACAGGCAAGGCGAAGGGGGCACCGCATGAGCATATGGCAAAAGGGGGCAGAGCATGCAGGAGGACCGAGAGGAGCCCAAGGCGAAGAGGAAGGGGCAAGGGACATGGCAAGCTGCGCACCTTCATCGGGGGCGCGGCGGTGCCCGTCAGGGGCTGGGTCTTCTCGGCCAGCACGGGACCCTTGGCGTACAGCTGCGGCTGCTGCAGCGGCCCCGGAGCATTAAGAGACGTCGTCAGCAGCGGGATGGTCCAGAGGGAGGCACAGCCGGACGCCGCACCGGAGGCCAGATACAGGTCCTGCTGGACCGTGAGAGCACCAGCCTCGCCCGGGGTCACCGTCACCACCGGGTAGCCGGTGATGCGAATCCAATCGTTCATCATGGACGTCAGATCCAGGCCGCTGACCGCGGTGGACATGGCCTCCCACAGGTCGTTGGTCTCCGTGTTCTGATAGGTGAACTGCATGGGGGCCGGCCAGCAGGCAAGACAAGTGCAATGGCCGCCGGCGGGCCAAGGCAGACATTGTCGAGGGAGGCCGCGAAGTAAGTAGCCAGCAGCGCCAGGCATGTTGGCCCGAGAGCCGGAAAGGGGGACAGAGGGAAGACCCCAGCAAGGAGCGCGGGCTCTCGGCGTACCTTCTTGATGTAGTGGCTCAGCCCGGTCTGGAACTCCTGCGGGCCCATGTGCGTGGCCAGCATGCGGATCAGAGTGGCGCCCTTGCTGTAGGAAATGGGGTCGAAGATTTGGTTGATCTGAGCCGTGGTGGTGACCGGGACCTCCACCGGGTGGGAGGACTGCAGGGCGTCCATGGACATGGCCTCGCCCTGCTCGGTGAACATGAACTGCGTCCAGATGTCCCACTCGGGGAAGAGCTTGTCGACAGCCAGCCAGCCGACATAGGTGGCGAAGCCTGGATGTTTTTTTTGACATTTTTTCCCCCCACGAGGTTGCGAGAATGGACCACCGCCATGACAGACAAAGGGGATGCGGGTGTTCGCGGAGTCAGCGCAGGGCCGGGAGAGAGAGAGAGAGAGAGAGAGGGGGGGGGGAGGATGAGGAGCCGGGAAGGGCGGCAAGGCTCGAGAGCGGGGATGAAGCGCGAATGCAAACAGAAAAAAAGGGACATTGCCGCCCGGATAGCCGAGCAGGCATGAAGACGCACCCTCATTCAGCCACAGGTGCGTCCACCAGTCCATGGTGACCAGGTTGCCGAACCACATGTGCGCAAGCTCATGGCACACCACATAGGCCAGCTCCTGGCGCGCGCGAGCGCTGGTCCGCTGCTCATGGCACAGGAGATAAATTTCACGGAAGGTGACCAGGCCCCAGTTCTCCATGGCACCGGCGGCGAAGTCCGGCACGGCGATCAAATCCAGCTTGGGCAGGGGATAGGGGGTGCTGAAGAACTCCGCAAAGAAGTCCAGCGCGTCACGAGCCACCTGCAGGCCGAACAGGCCCTGGTCCTTGAGGCCGATCGGGGTGTACACCCGCACCGGAACCCCGGCCCGAGTGACATCCTCCACGTACTCGGCCTCCCCGACAAAGAGGGCCAGCAGGTAGGTAGACATGCGGGGGGACCGGTCAAAGGCCACCACCTTGCGGCCATCCGTCGAGGAGGGCTTCTCCCCGGTGACCGGCATGTTGGACAGAGCCACCAGGTCGGCCGGCACGTCGACCGTCACCGAGAAGGTCGCCTTGAAAGAGGGCTCATCCCAGCAGGGGAAGGCACGCCGGGCGTCGGTGGCCTCGAACTGCGTCACGGCCAGGTAGCGCTTCTCGCCGGAGGCGGACTTGTACTCGCTGCGATAGAGCCCGGCCATCTGGTCGGTCAGTTTGCCGGCAAACTTCATGCCCAGCAGGTACTTGCCAGCCGGCAGGGGGGCGGCCCAGCGCAGGTGCAGGAAGTCGAAGTCCGGGCTGGAGGTCATGCTGGCCGGCGCGGGGAGGGCCTCGCCAGACACCGCGGCCAGGGTGACATCGGTCACCTCAAGCTCCAATGAGTGCAGGCAGATCTCCTCGGAGGTCTGGGTCACATCCACCAGGATGGACACCGTGCCGGAGAAGACAAAGTCCTTGAGATCGGGCTTGATGAAGACATCTGTGTTCCGGCCGGCGGAGGGGGCAGGGCATTGGAGGCAGAAAGAGGAGCCCGGCACGAGCAGGATGAGTGAGCAAGGCCAATATGCGGGCTGGGAGAAGAGGGAGCTATGGAAATATATGTATGAGCAGTTTCGCACCATAGTGCTCCGGCTTGATGTGAGTGGGCAGGCGAATCTGCGTGCTGTTGGTGATGGCCATTGAGGCGGCCGACCCCGGGGGGGGGGGGCACGTGGCGGGCAATGGGGGAGGAGGAAGTGGCAAAGCGATTGAGGGGGGGGGGGGGGCGCGGGAGTGCTGCCAAGAGGAGAGACTGGCGTGGGTCTGCTGAATGGGTTCCGGGCTGCAATGTGAAAAGGTCGTCCGCCCTGCCGGACGGAAGCAAGGTCCTTCGAATGGTGGGACGATGGAGGGAGGGGGAGGCGCGGCGCGTGCGCGCGCGCGCGCGCCTTGACAGCAGCCAGGCATGGAGCCCGGAACTTTGGACCCCCGGGCAGGGGTCTGGGCTGGCGTCTATACTTGCTGTTGCGTTGACACTCGGCTCGGATGTCTTCTCCGCGGCGGGGCGCTCATGCCAGCCCCCCTTGCCGCCGATCAGCCCTGTGACTAGATCCCGGCGCTCGGAATACACAGCGACATTTGGAGTGCCTGAACCGGAGCCCGCCGAATGGTCATCACATGCCATCATCATGGGTGCGACTCGTTCCCGGAACAGCATTCTATGGATGCATTCCAGTATGCTGGTGTTTGAGCATGACCAATGTCGGCTGCCGGCTCTCGACCCAGATCGCACTCTTCGGATTGGTCTCAAATTGTGCGTACGACGCGCGCCAGGAGAACGTTCTCGGGGGGCGACCATGGCCAGCGCCAATCGCGGGGCGAGGGCCCAGCCAGAGCCATCGGTTGGTATGTGTGTGGGTGTGTGTGGGTGTGTGTGGGTGTGTTTATCTCGCACCCTCTTCCGGGGTTCGCGCCCCGGCGGCAGTTTATGTCCGGTTGGTCGTGGGCTGCTCATGGGGCCAGATTAATCCGCGACCGGGCCCTCCCTCTCACGGCGGGGCCGCCGCCAGGGGTGGTGGTGAGGGGGGGAGTCTGGTCCGGGTCGAGGACATGCACACGCACGTCCCAGGCGCCACCGGGGTAAGCCCACATTGCAGGCCCGCGGGTCAGGTGGCAACTCGATCTCCCCTGGCGTAAAAAGGGCCTGCCCCTGTCTCCTGCCGGACCGCTGGTCCCCCCCCCCCCCCCCACCCCGCAAGAGAAACGTAAGGATTTCGTCCTCTCACCTCCACACGGATTTAACATCCACCCCGGCAAGCACAGGCCTCCTATCGTACCGCACCCCTCCTCCTCCTCCGGCCGTTCCCTCGTGCCAGACTCTCTCTCCCTTCTCCCCCATATGGCTGCCGCAATTCGCCGCTCCTTCTCCTCTCTCTCCAAGTGCGTTCGCCCGGCCCTTCTCCAGCCCCCATTCCTCCCTAGCCTCCCCCCTCCTGTACGAGCTTGGATGTACCGCCGTCCGATCTCCGCCACGAACATGTTTACACACGCACATGAGCCCCCATCATTGTGCTATCTCCTCCCCCCCCCCCCCCCTGCCCTCCCGGCTCACCCTGCGTCCCAGCCTCCCCGGCAGCTGGCTTCTCCCACTGGCCGTCGCTGCCGCGGTGGCCGTCCTGGCGATCGCCTCGCAGCTCTTCACCGCTGCACCATCACTCCCCCCGGCCCCGCCTCCCTCGCCGCCACACACACCCTCGCAGTCAATGCCGACCCCGCACCGCCCGTCGTCCGGCTCCCCCGTCCTGCCATCGGCCCCGCTAACCTCCACTGCCCCCCCAACTGCCAGCGCCGCCGCCGCTGCCATGAAGTACTCCACCCCCCTTGTCATTGAGCCTCGTGGCGACCACAAGGCAACCATCATCCTTTCTCATGGTAAGCATGCGGCCTGCATTCCACCTTCCCTCTCTCTCTCTCTCTCCCTCTGTCCATCTCCATCCCCCCCCCTCGCTTGATGGCATCTGGTCATCGTGCTGGGATGTTTGCTGATTTTTGTCCCCCCCCCCCCGTGCACACCTGTGCTCGATCACTGACCCGCCCTTGCCCACCAGGCCTTGGCGACTCTGGCCACGGCTGGATCGACTTTGCTCGCATCATCAGCAACGAGATCCCCGAAGCCAAGTGGATTCTGCCCCACGCGTACGTTGGTGCTGCTGTTGCCTGCTGTCCGGCCCGGGGGAGGGGCCCCCTTCACACCATTAACCATGTGTCCTGTCGCCGATTAGCCCCGACCGCCCGGTGTCCATCAACGGCGGCATGAGCATGCCCGCCTGGTATGATATCACCCAGCTTGGTCCTGGCCCCGAGGATGAGGCCGGCTACATTGAGTCTAAGCGCTATAGTGCGTACTTGCTCCCCTTCCCTTGCTTCTTTCTTGGCTCCGCTGCCTTGCTCCTGCTGTTGCCGGCATTTGCCCCCGCAATGGCATCGCTGACTGTCGTGCATTTCCCGCAGTCGAGCAGCTCGCCCGTGCGCATGCTCCCAATGGCGACCTCAAGCGCACCGTGCTGGCTGGCTTCAGCCAGGGTGGTGCCCTGTCGACGTACATCGCCCTCACCTCCGAGATCGAGTATGGCGCCCTGGTGGTTCTCTCGGCGTACATGCCCCTTTCCAGCCGCATCACTGAGGTGCGCCGTTCGTCTCTCCCTCCTCCGGCTATGCAATGACGGTGTTGCTCTTGTCCACTGACGCGCACGCACGCGCCCCCACGCGCACACACCACCCCCGCCTGCTCTCCTGGCAGCCCTCGCCCGCCAACAAGAACATCCCCCTCCTGATGGGTCACGGCACCAGCGACAATGTCATTCCCTTCTCTCGGGCCAAGCAGTCCTTCGATCGCCTGCAGGTACGCATGACCGCCTTGATCGCCGGCCGTCCGCTCCACATTTAATGCGCTGGCTGACCGACTCCCTCCGATTGCCATTTCGCTTTCCCGTGCACAGGAGATCGGCATGAAGAACTCCACGTTCAAGGTCTACCCCGGCATGGGTCACAGCATGTGCAATACCGAGATGCTGGACGTCCGTGACTTCCTCCTCGAGCACATCCGCTCCAAGTAGGCTCGTGGCTCCCTGGTGCCCTTTTGTCCGCCTGTATGTGCCTCCTCCCACTTCGCGCCCACTGTACTTTTAGTCCCCCCCCCCCCCTCTCTCCCTCTCTCGAACATATCATCCATGCAGGGGTACATCGGCATCCTCTTCCCTTTGTGGAGGGCGCGGGAGGTTTTTGACCGCAGCGCAATGCACATCACAAAACCAAACTCATTGTTGGAGGGAGGGACTCCTTGGAGCTGAGGTTGCGTGCCGCACGGCGCGCATGGGTGTGCGGCTCTATAGGGCGTATATTTATGGATGTGAGAGGCAAGGGGGAAGTGAACAATTAGGCTGACTGGTCGGGGATGATGTGACTCATATACATGTGCTTAAGTACATATATGTGTGTATATGTCTGTGTGTGTGTGTGTGTATATGTGTGTGTGTGCGTGCGTGTGTGCGTGCGTGCGTGCGTGCATGCATGCCACACTCGCTCTTCATTGGGCAGAGGAAGAGAAGAGACCCCCAAGAAGAGGGGAGGAGCGTCTTGTGCGTTACTCCTGCTCCGGCTCCGGCTCGTCGTCGGCCTCGATGGCCTCGACAGCGGTGACTGGAATCTGGAGGGCCTCAACCGGAGTGCAAGCAGCCACAGCCGGGGTGAAGGGCGGCAGGGGGTTGCGCTCATCGGGATCGACGATGCGGCGGAAGATGGCCAGGAACTTGCGGCCGCCATTGCGGTCGACACGCTGCGCCTCCTCCGAGCTGTTCTTCACCAGGTAGATGGCAGGGTCGTTTTCCTACAGGTCCATGGACGAGGGGAGGGGAGGGGGGGATATTGCGAGAGGGTAAGTTCCAACTCGATCAAGGGATAGAAGGAGGGGGGGGGGAGGAGAGAAAGATGGGAGGAGCAGCAGGGACGAAACTATGGCATGACGCACGATTTCCTCCTCGGACACACGCTCGAACATGGGGTGCGCCTCCAGGTGGCTGTCCATCCAGCGGTGGAGGACAAGCACATCGGAGATGGTGTACACAATACCGCCTGGCCGAAGAACATAGGCATACTCGTCAAGCAGAGCAGGGCTACGCAGGAGAAGCGCCAAGAACGCGGCCAAAGGAGGGTAGTTAGCATGAGGGAGAGGGGCAGGGCGAGTGAGAGGAGAGAAGGGCGCCATGGCCAGTGCGAACCTGATAATACGCCACTTGTGCTTGGCGCGCTTGAAGTGCGGGTCCGGGAAGAGGAAGAAGATCTTCTCAAGCTGGCCACGGCCGAAGAAGCGGGTGAGGTGCTTCATGGTGTTGGCCCGCATGACGGAGGCATTCTGATAGAGGGTCGGCTTGCCGGCAGCGAGCTGCTCCGGGGTGGCGGCCGCGGCGCCATGCTGACGAAGGGCCTGGATCTTCTCATGCACGTAGCTGCTCACCTTGACACGGATCTCCATGCCCAGAGTCAGGCGATCGGGATAGAGCTTGGACATGGACACTGTAAGGCCACCATAGCCGCAACCAACGTCCAGGAAGCGGACAGAGCTGACGTCCGAGTCCGGGTAGACCGGGGTACCGTCCTCCTTGAAGTAGGCGGGGAAGAATTCATTCCAGTTCATCTCGGTATGCGAAGTGGGACTGGGGAGGGGGGAGGGAAAGGCAAATGGTGTGAGAGGGGTGGACCAGAAGCATGAGGGGCGGAAGAGGAGGAAGGACAAAGACCGGAGGGGGGGGGGGGGGGGAAAGATGGGAGGGGCAGCAGGGGGCATTTTTTTGTGGGTGGGGGGGGTCGGGGGGGGGGGGGAGGGCGGCGAGGCGGAAAAGGGACACACTACTCGAGCAGGTGGTCGGCGTAGGGGTTGCTGTGGGCGCGCTGGCGGAAGTTCTTCTTCTGAGGGAGGGCAGCCAGGGTGCCGGAGGCGGTGGCCTCGGCGCCGCCAGCAGGGACGATCGCCTCAGAGGCGGACATCGTCACGAGATGGGGGGGGGAGGAGGAGGAGGTCAAAGGGAGGGGGCGCGAAAGAGGGGGGGAGGGAGCGCTTTGCGAGAGGCCGACGCCCAGCTGGTCGGGTGGCACCGAAAAAAAGGGCAGGCCCTGCCTTGCCAGCGGGGCAAGTCGGAAGGGGGACACCTACACGACCATCCGGTAAACCCCGACATCCTCCCGGCCCCCGCCCATGCGTCCATGTGCCCATGCGCTTTTCTGTTTGACCGCTCCCAGGTTGTCGTATCGCCAGTCTGCCCCGCCCCCCCCCCCCCCCGCCCTGGATATAAAGACATGCATGTGTGGAGGAAGGGTACCACGAGGAAGAGGAGGGTCCAAAAAGCAATGGCCCCAGCCAGGATCGAACTGACGACCTTCGCGTTATTAGCACGACGCTCTAACCAACTGAGCTATGGGGCCTTCCTTATCTTGGAGGGGGATGGTTGGACAAAAATACCCTCAAGTTTAGAGCGCTCGGAGATCGCAGCTTGTGACCCTCGACGGAGTCAAAATTGGCCTGCACCGCCCCCGAATGAGCCGCGGCTTCAGAACTTCGAGGTAAGGCGTTTCCCCCCCCCCCCCCCCCACACACACACCCGCCCTCCTTCCGGCCCCTTGGCGCGGAATGCCTCGTACGTTGGTTAAAGAAGCGAGAAGGGGCCCCCTGGGGGCAGCGGCGGCGGACAGAGGCCGCAGGTCGCGGGAGCGAACAGCCTGCTCAACTTATGGGGGGGGGGCGGGGAGGGCGGAATACCAGGCGAGCACGCTCCAACAGTGCAGACCCATTTGCCCGTTGACCGCCGTGGGCTGAGACAACCCCCCCCCCCCCCCCCCGGCCACGATGGCTTCTCAGGTTCAAGTAACGACGCCCCGGCAGCCGGCGCAGGGCGCCCAATCTCTCCCACGGGTCAGCAAGCCGATAAAGATAGGTCGGATGACGTTGGCGAAGGCCTTTTCCCCTCTGTCTCTTTGTCCCTTTCAAGGACCCCCTCCCCACAGGAGGAGGCCCGTGAGCGGTCGGGGCGGGCGCTAGTTTCCCCGGCAAGGCGCCCCCCGAAAGGGGCAGGGATCTTGGCCCCGGGGTCAACGGCCCCCCCGCCAACAAGAACATCCCCCTCCTGATGGGTCACG